AAAAACATATCTCAGAGATTGATAAAGCATTGGAAAGGATTAAAGCCATTGAGAGCATTAAGAAGATTAGGGACAAACATAATGTTGTTTTTCACGACACGATTGGTTCGGAAGAGTAGAGAATTTGGTTAATCATTAAGAAAATGTAAGAATTGAATGAGTTTTCGATGCCATCACTGGATGGATGACCTCAACCTTTCTTTGATGAGCTTTTTGTCAGTTCTGGCACTCAATATAATATATGCAAAAATCAAGTTATTATTGCCATAAATTGTATGAAACATAAAAGTATAGCATATTTTTGGCGTTCAATACAATAAATGGTGATATATTTGACGGAAAGAAAACTATTTGAATAGAAATGTCATTAAATAAAAAACAAGTTGTGATTCATGTCGGGCATCGAGAATATGCTTTATATCATACATCAAACGTATAGTTTGTCACAAACTCTTAACAAAATTAAATACATTTATATTATTTCAAACTATCGTTAATATGAATATTAAATTAAGTCTATTTTTAAAGTTATTTAACAATCGATATACAAGTGCTGTGTTTTAAACACACACATCATTTTGGGTGTAAATTAATAAAATCTTATAATATTTATCATTTTGTTATAGTCTTTAAAACTAATAAAGTTTGACAAAAATGTTTCATAAATACTTAATCAATAGAAAATTGTTTGGGAATGACATATAAATGCTAATATTAATGATAAAATAGTACAAAACATAGTTATTTATAATAAATTATATACTAATTTGAAGTAAATTACAAAATTCTATATATAATGACTTGAAATGGAAATGTCTTTTTGGTTCAAATGATCTAAGAATTAATGAAAGAAACTTTTGAATCTCATGTAAATAACATACAAAACATAATTAATAATAAAATGACAGAATTTCTCAAATTCTTTAGTAATAGATAGTATTTATTGTATTATATTATATGCTAAGAGTCTTTAAACTAAAATTCTCGTTTAAATAATAAAATATCATTAATAGTGTGTATATGTGTTAAATGAGATGTGATCTGATAGTGAATCGGTGGGCCCTATAAAAACATGAACACAACTTATGGTTTTGACGGCACAAAAAAGTAATTAACTGAATGTAAAACCAATTTAAACAAATCAAAAGAAGTGTTAAACAGATGTGTGACTCGACTGTCAATTACAGAATCGATAATTCATTTATGAGACACTTTTGTCACACACTTCTCGCTAAACACTTCTCACTAACTATTTATTATAAATGGTTTTTCTCTTCATTTGTTTGGCGTTTGTCTCAAAAACTTTATTTTCCATCACATCTTCACCAAAAATATTTCATTCATTGTTTTACTCTTTAACTCATAATTAATTAATTTTCTTTATGTAATAGTAATTGTTTAATATTATACCCAATAGTGTACACAATAGGCTAACAATGTATTCAAGCTTTATATAATTATAACTAAAAATATACAAAACAGTTATTAAAATGATATATAGATGAGAGGGTCAGGAGGGGTGGGCCGGGGGGTCATAAGGGGGTCGAACCCACACATTGCTGTTAACGTACGTTATGTTTGTATGACTCGAGTGAACACAAACACAACAACACGTGCTTTACATATGATTTGATGTTTTGATTGAATTGTAAATCAAATGATTGACTAAATTATGGATAATTTAAAACTTGAAAGCAATCAACAGATGGTGTCTTCGGATCTGTTGTTAGCCGTGAAGTGTATGACAATAGACACAGACCTCGATGTCTTGTATTTGGTTAACGCCGACAATGAAGTGATTAGTATTGATGTCAACAACTCGTCGGTGAGTTATATCTCGAGATATAAATGATAATTATCTCAATTATTAACCACTGTTTGTTGGGATCAGTTGACCAAATGCTGCGATATATGTCTGGACGTCGCCTCATATGAAGCCATTTGTTGTGAGTTTATGTCCGAAGAGAGGAGTGTTTTCATAGCCTTAACGACCGGACATATCGTTGTCTTCAACACAATGACCAACACTTACGGAACCGTTGGCTGTCTGTCGGATGGCATACAAGCGGTGGCATTCAGTTTGGATCAAGAGTTGATTGTTTTGGTCACACAAAACAATTCATTGGTTTTGATGAACAAATTGTTTGATGTGTTGACACAAAAGGATCTCAACACCGATGAGTTTGGTTGCCATGAATTGGTTTCAGTCAACTGGGGATCAAAAGCCACACAATTTCACGGCGAAGGACAGCGAGACTCGCGGACACAGCAACAGGTCTTTAAAGCCATAAAAATTATCTGTATTTTCATTAAATATTTCTTTCAGACCTTTAAGTCTTACAGCGATTTTGACGATAAGATTTCGCAAATCAGTTGGCGATCCGATGGACTCTATTTTGTGACCTCTTTTTTCGACCACAAGACAAGTGAATAGTTTTAAAAAAAATTTAATTATTAATTGTCTAGAAATTCAATTTACTTTAAATAATCTTTTCGTTAGACTATCGGAAACTTCAAGTGTGGAGTCGAGACGCCGTTCTTCAGTACACGAGTGAATGTTTGGATGGTTTGGAAGCACTGATCGCATGGAAACCTTCCGGTGCTCTCATCGCGAGCTCCCAATTGTTGCCAAACAAACACATGATTGTATTCGTTGAGAAGAATGGCCTAAAACACGGCGAGTTTGAGTTACCGTTTACTCCCAATTCATTTAAAGTGCAGCACATCTTGTGGTCAAACGATTCCCAAATCCTATTAATCATTGGCTCAGAAACGAGGGAACAATTGTCGCCGCAGATTATGATGCTTTGGAGACAAACTAATTATAAATGGGATCTCAAACAGAGATACGAGTTTAAAGACAATACCATTGTTGCTGTTAATTGGGATTCAATAGATGCGAGTCTTTTGCACGTTATTCTAAATAATGGTCAATATATAAGATATCGATGGAAGTGGTCGACCGATGACTTGAAAGGAATGGTAGCATTGATTGATAAAAATCACTTAAAACTATCTGACTTTGAGTGTTCAGTGATTCCGCCGCCTTTCTATTCGTATTCATTGGATTTTAAGTCACAAATACTTGAGACGTGTTTCTCGAAGAATAAGTTAGCGGTTGTTTTGATTGACGGAACCATTGCTTTGTTTGAAAAAAGTGCTAAAAAGGAGACAAATGGTTGGAATGACTTCTTTGCCATTACTTTGGAGAACATGACTAAAGAGAGCGAAGAAGTGTTTAACTGTTTTTATGCCAATAAATGCGAAGACATCACAAAATTAACGCATTTGACTGTCGATGAAACGGGTCTTCTCTATGGTATTCAATCAAAACAATTATTTTGCTTTGATTTTCGCAGTGAAATCCAAAACATAGTTAAAGTTTTAGACATTACAACCGATACTGACGATCATATAATAGCGATGAGTTGTCTGAAAGATACGATAGGAGTGATTGGAAGTAGTGGTCACTTATTGAAAGCGAACCTAAAGGACAAAGTAGTAGATTATTGGACGGATAGATGCGATAAGAAAGTGGTGTTTCCTAATCGCTGTTCACGACTTGAATTAATACAAATCGAGAACAGAATCGTTTCCATCTGTCTATCAGAAGATCATACCCTGTATTTAGATAATGAGGTTTTGTCGCAAAATAATTGCAACTCTTTTGTCAATTTCAACGATAAATTTCTAGTATTTACGACAACCGATCACTTATTGCATTGTTGGCCAATCAATGGCAATATATTTGAGGCGAATGTAAATTACGGCAATTTAAAGGCCAGAAGTGTTGAGAGGGGATCCAAAATAGTTTGCGCCACAAGTGATGCTAAGATTGTGCTTCAGATGCCGCGCGGAAACCTCGAGACCATACATCCGAGGCCTCTCTTATTGGATATAATAATGTCTAAATTGAATGCTTTTGAATATGATTTAGCGTTTGATTTATTACGAAAACACAGAATTAATCTAAATTTTATCTGCGATTATAAACCGAATACATTTAACGATAACATCGAAACGTTTGTTAAACAAATTGGTGCTAAAAATATTGAATGGATTAATCTATTTCTAACCGATCTCTCAAATGAAGACTTTTACGACAAACTTTGTAATCCAAACGCACATAAAATTAACAAATTTAGTGCCGAGAGAATCAAAGAGAGTATTAAATCGGAT